TTGTTTCCCGATAGACCGTCAGTGCATGATGTTACTGAAGAAATGTTTGTTGTGCTGTAGACTATGTTTTTATGAACAACTGATTGTTGTCTTCAGTCTCAATCGCTTTAAAGCAGTATATATCTCTTTTGTCTTCTCTTAGGTAAGTTGGACTGGCCTATATCTCGTGTTTTGGTTTTATCGGCTGGATTACTTTCATTTTACTCCGTTTAGCAACATGTCTGTGCAAATGGAACAATAATTATGACACTTGCTTAGTTTAGTATTTCTTGGTTGCCTTATAATTTAGATTAGTCTATAGAATTATAGTGTAGTGCTTAAAGGCTGTAATGAAACGGATCAGTTTAGTAAGTACAACTGTCTGTTTTTAATGATTATAGTGATTGAAATCAGTCTGATTAAAAATAGGAAAAAAGTTCCTTTGGTACTGTTGCTGTCATATATTATAAGACAGCTTTAAGTACGTTTGGTGTTTATTTGTAGACAGCACGTCTAATACTGTCCATGTTTCAAGACCATTGTCATTAAACAATTTCCCCAGCAATAACATCAATAGCACGATAGCTAAGTGTCTGGGCTTTTATTTGCCTGCAAAACAGGAGTATACAGTCTTAAATGAGGAGTGTTGTCCTAATGAAATGCTGCTGGTTGTGGACAAATGTTAAGAGTGTTTTTGACAACTGGGACTTTTAGTTTACCAGACACTAAATCAACTCGTATATCTTCCTGTGAAATCAGATGCATGGGAATACTTAAATGAGAGCAAAATAATAAATGCTGTGCTTTGCACAAGTTGTATTAGCTGGCGTGAGCCGATATTCATGAAGTCGAGGTAGGTCACAGTTGCATAAATTCTTTCCTTAGAAACATCTGTGTTTATTCACCTTTTCAACATTCTTCACTAAATTCATTACTATTTTTTATTTAGAATGTAACAGGAGTGAGCCGTCACAGATGTTACAGTGTTTCACCTTTAGAACTATGGCCCTATGAAACTTTATGGGAGACCCACCTAACATCAGATTACTAAAAGCATGCCGGACATCCACTTCCAGTGTTTTGGAGGTACTTCTTATACCCTTTCGTTTGAAAAAAGAAACAACAAATACAGCAGATTAACATTACCAACGCGACAATGTGGTTGGTAACGTGATATAAATCTTTGTTTCATATGTCATTGTTAATTAAAGTTCCTGGATAAATTTGTAAACCTGATGCTATTTCGTTTTATCTAGTTAACCGTTATAAGAAACTTGTGAAACGCGAGCCTCTGAGCACCCAGTTGGTATGTAGTAAATTTAAGTCACAGCAGTTGATGGATGGACACGCGTTACACATCCCAACCGTCCCTGTCTCTAATCTAAGTTTCCTATTCAAATACCATATGATAAGCAAGCAGTGGGAAACCCCAAATTCAGGGCCTTCTTATAACCTATTTCAGCCGCCATGATGTGCTGCACTAGTACGTTGACAGGTACGCGTCTGAGCCATAGCTGTTTACTGGGATGCCGTCGGATTTGCAATCAATACCTTAGGTACACTTACGGGTCACTAGTAACGTGAGGTTACGCGCCTGCCAAAACACAAATACAGGCCCATTCAATGTTTTCACCCCTTATACCAAACATAGCAAGAAACTCTGTATTTAGTGAATATAAGACTTTTATTTAATTAGGTATTAACAAGAACTGGCAACGCACATGACGCGATTTGTGTTTATTGAGTATCTGAAATAGAGAGTACGAGTATTAGCTTAATAGATGCATTTATAAATACTTAGATTTTGATTTCCAAAGAACCAGTGGACTTACTATGTTCGGAATCTGTAGGCAGACGCCTCATGCGTAATAATTCATCAACTTGATCTATCAATTGCCTTAGTATGTCCTGCACCGTCGTCTGTCCGAAAAGTGTACTGAGTGTGTGGATTTTACTGCGTAGAATGCGAACGTATCTCTGGAGCAAACAATGTAGTTGCAGACGCCCTGTTTCGCATAACCCCCCGAACAGTTTCCAAGAAATCGACCGTCTTAAACTTGCCCAGCTTCGAAAAGAAGACACTGAGTTGTCGTCTACAACCTTGAAGCTACGCATCAAACAGATGAGAACACGTAAGGAAACCTTACTTTGTGACACATCTACAGTTAGGGATCGCCCAATCGTGCCAAAACATTATTGACGCAACGTCTTCAATACGTTGCACAAACGTTGTCAAGCTTATAGCAGAACGATTTTGCTGGCCTGGCATGAATAAAGACATATGGGAGTGGGCACTCTCCTGTGTAAGCTCCCATAAATCTGAGGTGATCAGACACGAAAATGGCCATTAGGCCCTTTCAATATTCCCGACTCTGGTTTCGACCATATTCATCTGGATTTGGTAGGACCTCTACCAGATTCAAATGGATACTCTTATCTCTTAACCTGCGTTGACCGTTTCACCCGATGACCAGAAGCAGTACCTACCAAGGACATCACTGCTGAAACAGTGGCCCGCGCCTTCGTCAAACGATGGGTAGCAAACTTCGGCTGCCCTTCAACCATCACTACAGACCGCAGACGTCAGTTTGAATCTGAACTTTTCCGTCGTCTGACCACATGTTTAAGAATCACTCGCTTCTGAACGACTGCCTACCACCCACGCGCAAACGGGTTTGTAGAACGCTTTCACCGACAATTAAAAACTTCACTATCGGCTGCAAACGTTTCACAGTGGACCGACGCTCTTCCACTCGTCATACTAGATATTCGCAATGCAGTGACAGCTGACATGGGATACACTGCGGCTCAACCCGTTTGTGGATCTAACCTCCTACACGAACAGGTTTACAAACGCAATGTGTTCAGTTAAACCTGTTTCCACTTGACCGCAATCAACTGAAGTTTTCGTTCAACCTGACTTACGATATAGTACATACGTTTTCGTTCGTCGAGACTCACATCGACAACTTTTCGAATCAGCATGCGAAGGACATTTCGAAGTTCTTCGACGCGAATCTAAGTACTATATAGCCGATAAGAACGGAACCAACGATAGCATCAGCATGGATTGCTTCAAAGTAGCGTATTTAGAACGAAATTCTATCCACATCGATTTACCTTCGATACAATCGGACGACACAACTACCACACTTATAATGCCTCAACTGACAGACAACACACACGATGATACTTCGGCAGTATCTAAAAATAATCGTGAAACAACGCGTTCTGGAAGAAGTGTATGATCTCCAGAACATTTGAACAATTATTGCACGTAAGACACTGGTTGACATTTTATATCGTCTCGATTTTCCTTTGTACTATATATAATTTAAACGAAAAACCAATTTTAATATGCTTACATATTTATATTTTTGTTCCAAAAAACAAAACAGAACAAAACAAAAACCCATATTATGAAAATCCTTTATTTACACTATTACGTGTGCATGAATTCATTTTTCATTTTTACGCCCACTTTGTGGTTTTACGCGCGTAAAAGCGTATTTCGACATGTACTAACATTTTTTCCAGGACGGCTGGAAAAGAGCGATGAAGTTTACGAGGAATCGAAATTTTCATTGTACATTTTCTTATTTTACTATGTTGTACCTCGGTCCCATATAGTAAGGAAAAACGATCGGACGCTGTTAAACCTAGCAAGCTATCAGAAGTGTTTACCAACGACAAACTCGTTGAGTCTAAACTTCTGGCTGGCCACGTCTTAGGGTCATCTCTACCCCTTTAGGGGGGGGGGTGATCTGTAGCGGTAATAAAACTTCAAAATAAATAGCTCTGTAAGTTTTAGGCATTGAATGCTGACCACATTATTTTTAATGGACTCAACTAGCTGAAGGAGATAGGTCATGCGTCCGCACCAGATCACGAGTGGGAACGCCGTGCACAACAACCCCTGCAATCGCTAGCCAGATTAGGTCAGACAATCCCCGATATATTGATAGCCTATCAAATATAACTTCGAACCTCCTCGCTGCTGTCTTTTGATTTCACTTGTTGGGTACGCTTCATATTAGGTGTTACTGTTTAAAGCGTTGTCAAACTCCGAATACCTGTGACATCTTTAAGTTAGACAAAGATATTACTTACCTTCCTGCTAGAAATGTCTAAGTTCCTGCCTCGGGGGTCGTTTATCCGCTGCCAATAGACCCGAATACCTGTGGCATCTTCATTACTCCATTCCCCCTCAGCTGATTAATAGTGCCCTGTAGCCAAATACACTTACAAAGGCGTTGTAGTGCAACTGGTTCTCAATTACACGATCTTCGGAACAGAACATACGATAACTGAGAAGATTTACATTCAACATCTAACACCACGGAGAAAGCCGGGTATGGTGGATATCGTGACACAAAGTCAAGATGACATAGCTTGGCCATTCAGGCGTAGTCACTCTGAGACTTATTCCTCTTCATATTAGATATACCATTCTAACCCTAACCTAAACATGTCTTTCAGAAAAGTTAAACGTCATATTGCTGACCGTCACGATAAAACGAATCACTATAGACAGTGATGTAACCTTCACTTTGGGATTGGGTCTATCATTTTAGCAGTCGAGATAAGTGTACTTATATCGAACTCGATTATAATCCCACAGCACCACTTCATGTTAAGAAACTAAATGAAACATGAAGAATACGTTGGAATTCTCCAAACGGTAGAATCTTTGGGCTGTAGAAGTTACCACCATAGAGGTCGCTGACAATATATTTCATTGGGTTTTGCATAATTACGCTCGATATATATCAAAGGTCTAATATGACTAATCGAGCGCACCGTGATATCACTTTTCAACCACTCCTATTATTTCCCAACGTTTTTACCCTTAGGTTCCGAAGGTATGCAGAACGAATGACAACTCATTGTAGCCAACGATATTCTATTGGAACGGACAAATAGCTGGTTATCGCTTCCCAGAGAGTTGGAACTTTGAAATGTGGTGAGCGGGTTTAGGATAACTACGTTACGCCTAAGACTATGCTACAGGCCTACTATTCATGGGCAACCGGTTAGCTTGTTGTCGCCAAACATGGATAGAATTTCATGATGAAAGTGAAGAAGACTGCAAGAATCACACACTACCCCGAGTTTTTGGTCATCAGAATAATGGTGCTGATTTCTCTGAAGAGGATAGTGGATTCAAAATTGAAAATCGTGAACCCTGTGTCAGTTGTACACGTATTAGCGTACCTGAGAAACTTTCTGTTGCATATAATTTAACACAACACATAAGTGAACGGGAACCAGAAGGTTTGTGACCTATGGGTCACATTTATTATATTAATGCACCATAGATGTCGAGTTTGACCCATCACTTAATGCCTCACAACATACACTGTTCCTTTCCGGCATTACACCTGAATATCAGAGTAAGTGAGATATTTTTTCACACTAAGATCTAGTAGTAGGATTTCCCAGGGACCTGACGGTATGTTGTAAATTTATTTATGGCTTACGCAACATCAGCCCAAGTCTAGGAAAGGGGCTTCTACAACCCTTTCTATTAAACGGTGGAGTTCTTGCAGTACTATATATGTTGGGGATGGCTATCTGGCTCGTCCTGATGTGAATGACATTGTATGTAGCGTGTCAGTGGCTATTCAACTTCTTATGTGCAGTGATCTAAACAAACATTTTTCAAAGCTGTTACATAAACCGGGTGTAAATTCATGTCCTGACTTCCTGCAGGATATGTATGAAGAGGTGTATAGAAATTTTGATGAACGAGTCTACCCCATTGAGGTAAGTCTAAAAGGTCTGTCTGAATTATTTCAAAGTAAATGTGTTCAACTTCATCCAATTCCCCTTCCCATTTAAACTAGTAATTACCAGGGAAGGTAAGAAGCTCTGCAATATTTTGGTGGTAAATGTTACATAAGTTTTTGTTACTTTGTAAGTAGCCGTTTATGGTACTATTGAAAAATCTTATGACACCTTAATAAACAAGGTAACTGAAAATGGGTCTTTGTGTAAATGTTTTTTAGCCATTCAGATTGTCGGAAAATTAGCGGCGCTTAATATTCAAGAGCATATTTTTGTATTTTATGACGAATCAATTTGAGGGCTGGTGACGCATGCTCTCTCAAACCGTTGTAATTGAAAAGCTCTCATCTGACTCAGCGGTTGTAGTGAATTTTCAGATTGCTTAGTTGTCTCGGAAAACTGACTGCACTTGGAATTTCTTATTGGCTTAAGTATTTTGGTTTAATTCAGTGGGTCTAGTTTCGATAGTGCCATACCTTGTTATACAGAATAAGTAATACTCATAACTTATTCCTTACATGTGTATTTATTTATTTATTTGAACACATATATATTGGTACAGGAGTGCGCCAAACATATATGCGCCACACAATTTCAGTTCATTAATTGCGTGTGGGCTGCGTTACTGCCCGGGTGCCCAGACCGAAGCAGGTGGTTCTCTTAGGGGGCCACACCCCGAGCCTTTGACCTAAAGGTCTAACCCACAAGACAGTGGAGCATCGTAAGGAGATGCAGTCCCATGGTAGCCGGTGACCGACGATTGGTTCATACGCCATTTGTTCCCGCAGGATACTGGTGCCCATATGCACCATTGGTTTGGAATCCGGTTAAAGCGCCGGACATTCGCTTTTCGTCCTCTCATTTTCGTAAACAACACCCCCGCCACGAGAAGGCAGTGAGTAGGACTTCCCTGGCAGAGGCTGTATACGCGCGGCCGTGTGAGAGTATTTCGAGAGGAAGGGCGAACCCACCCCGCTCTCGGCCATACCAGGGCGTTTGGGGGCCCTTACATATGTAGACTGGTTTTTTATGGCTTGTCACTCGTAATACACCTAAATACTATTTTAATATTCCATTCTAAGTGTCGTTCATATTCATAATTATATCAGTAATTCGTCCTGTTTTTAACCGATAGTCATCCATCATTTTCCTCCCCCAGACTCAGTTTTCTAGTATTACCATTGGTCTTAGTCGTTTATTCATTTGCCGTGTTTGTATTTCAGTCTCTTATATTCCTACCGCAAGCCCGATTTAGACAAGGTTCATATACACTGCTCTGACTCATTTATAAAAACGATGTAAACGTAAAATCGCCTTGGGAATTAAGGTTTATTGGTGGCACTGATTAATCTCCATTACATGTGTCCATCGACCTTAGAAAATTTTTTAAAACACAAACCTTAATTTATAAACTAGCTGAAAATCCACGTCACATCCAGGGTCAGTTAATTTCTTGTATTTGTAGAAATATAGGCTTTCCCAACTTAAAGATCTTCATTACTCTTTAGAATCCGGTAACCTATAGTTCTATCCGTTATTACTAGAGATTTTCATTTTCAAAGGAGTCAGAAGAAACGAAACAAAATTGATCTTACTGACGTTTCGCTACTCAATACTGATAGCTTTACCAAAGTATTGTAGATCACAATGTACGAAAACTGAAGTTTATCTCTGGTAACTCGGTTGAAATGCTTCTGTACGAAGCAATTCTGTATTGTCGAGTGAATAAATTGAAAAAAAAAACCAACGAGTTTATAAGCTGGTACATTTAACAAGTGTATGAATTATAAGAATTGCATGTAGTTGTGTGATACGGTTTTCGTATCACATCTGCGTTGACAATCCTAATTTGTGGGAAGAGGGTGTTAAAACCAGGAAAAATTTCGCCTTAGCCCCTCATTTCTATCCAGACAATTTAAATTCCACTTGATATTAAGTGTTTCTAATCCATGATTTTATTTATGTCTTAAAGTCCATTTAAATTACTTTAATATGATTTGTTGACCTAATATTAAATGTTTATGTAAGACCGGAAATTCATTAAGTTTTTTAATTTCATTTGGATTTCTCGGTGATCAGATAGAAGCTCATCGATGTTCATGCGTTCCTATATTGATTTCTCAAGCTTTTTAATGTGTACAGGATCACATTTTGAATGTGCCATTTTGTTGATAACTAAATCGTGGATCTTCCGGTGTTTTATCGTATGCATGAACTAAATTGCTTTGTAGTGTTTGATGTGGTAGAGAGTACCCTGGTCTTACTCGTCTAATCTCATCTGTGTCTGATCTTATAGAGTGACGATTGTTGTAGTCCATAGTTTCGGAGTACTTTTTAATCACGTTTAATAGCGAGGCGTTAGCAAAAAAATCTACTTGTTTTTTTCACCCACTGGGAAATACTGGATTTTAAAAGTGATGAATATCACTTACCTAATGGCCAGGTTTTTTAAACCGTTAGATCTGAAATCGATCGGGATATTTATACTGTAGAAATGTCGTTGGTTTTTATAAGAATATGTTAGTCAATAAATTTGAATGTAGTAGCTAGATGTTTAAAATCAAACGTCTATGCAATTCACATAATCTTTTTGCAGTTTACTAAAATCTCACTATTGTAGGTCCCGTCCGTAGCTGCTACATTGGCGTGGTGGTCGGGCTTGCCTGTCGTGATGACTTAACCAAGCTATATTGGCTGGAACATATGTTCCTGTAGGTTCTACCATGTCAGGCAGGTCGATTAGAGAACGGTAAGACTAAAAGCAGCAACTCAAGGTCTGAGGGCGAAGTCGTAATGCTGACTGTAGAGGGGTGTGACAGCAGTAAGGTGTTTCCCTCGGACAACCAGCATCTGCAGCGATGCTGCCTTCTCACAAGGAAGGAAGGGGTTAGAAAAGGTTGACCGTAAAGATGTCATACCTCACCTTACTTCACGGATTTCCGTCTCCGGCGGTAAGTCCCTTTGAAGAACGGAGCTAACACGTTAAAAAACTCCTACAGAAAGGCCGTGCGCGACCGGCCTCAAGCAGTTGCCCTTGGACTCTGAGGTCACGCTCCCGGGTCGTCAAGACCAACACTAATCCAACTTTCTTTCCAGGTTCCTCAGGAAATACCCTTCCACGATGTGGGCATCCGGGAAGTGATATCAGCCCTCATGCACGTAACAACACGCGAGACCAAGTTGGTCACATTCGAATCCTTCCTACGCCTCCTAATAACTCTCTTATCTCCACGACTAACCCTTCTCACGTCCCTTTATCGCCTTGCACCGCTAGTGCGAACGATTCGAGTACGCGGAACGTTATTCCTGGTCTCCTGAAACCACGTTCCAAACTACATCTAGGAGCTTTTAACGTTCGAATATTGCGCCAAATTGGACATCAGGCTTCCTTAGCTAGAACTTTAGAATCTCGTGCCATCGATGAGTACTGCGTCTCTGAAACGCGCATACAGGATCCGAGTAGCGTCATTCATTTGACCTCACCATGTCAAAATATAGAACCAACTCGATTCACTGTTCGTGTATTTGGGAGCATTGAGTCCTAGGGCAGAACTAGCTCTCTTAGACTGGATCCCAGTAAACATTTGTTTGTGCACTGTCCGACTAAACGGAACAGTAAGGACTCGGAAGGATGGGGACACTTGTCGTTGCCTCTTCGTCGTTTCTGCCTATTCTCCCACTGACTGCATCGCAGATGATGTAAAAGATGAGTTTTACAGAAAACTCTCCGACCTTCTCCGAAAAGCTAGGCGCTCGGATGTAGTAATAATGTCCGGTGACTTTAGTGCTCAAGTAGGTAAACTAAGCGAAAGGGAAAAACACCTGGGTGGATCTTATGGTGTCATGGCTTAAAGAACAGATAATGTCGACCGTCTGTTGCAGCTATGCTCAGATAACCGCCTGTTTCTTGCTAATACGGAAAAATAACCCATTGTGTCATTGAATAAGAAAAAGAGAATTCAGTGAAGAAAATTTCCTTTTCGACGAAATCATTTACTTAAGCTGTACGTTCATAAGGAAAACATCTTTTGACATGGCGACCCTCGAATTCGTCCCAACGATAGACACAAATAGATCACATCCCTACCAGCCACTGTGAAGTGTGATGTATAAACGAACTCATGAATGATAAAGTGGAACGCCTATTAACTTTCTTTGACCTTGTATGACTATGTCTTGCTTGTTCACCAATCACAATTTTTATGTTCATTATAAAACAATATTCGCCTTGTTGACTTATTTTTTCTATCATCTAGTTACTATTCGGTATGTTATTAATGTCTTTGTTTTTCCCTGTGTAAATAAACTGTACTGTGTATTTTGTACACTAACGGTGTTAATTTATGATTTAGAAACAGATAAGGTTTATCAAACCAAATAGCTTACTTGTTCTGACTTGGGCTAAACCAAGGCTCTGTGCTCGACAGTCTAGAGAATAGCTTAGAGTTACACCTGTAGGAAATTGCTTCCTACAACCACCGATGGAAGGGCTCGATAGAAGACCGTCGCTCGTTCTGGAATACATGCTTATGTTCAGACCATGCTCTAGTGCTAGCGCGTGTTTGTCTGTGCCTCATTGGATGTAGGAAAGACGCTTCAAGAATACCTCTTAGGGTCCTACTTAATGATAGCAAGCTAAGAATATATTCCAAATATCTTAACATAATGTAAAATTACCTGCATATTATCATTCTTGCACCTATCTTATTATACATAATTGACTGTTTTCGTTTGCTTTTTGTTTAGCACCTCGTGTATGATGAAGATGCAAATGCCAATACTATAAATGATTGGAAATCTTCAACAGCCTATCATATTCGACAGTTTCTGCGTCGTCTTTTCAGCACAGCCCTATTGGGACCCGAATGTGCTATTGTAGCCCTTGTAGGTGACTGCTTTAACTTCGGAAACGCTTTTTATGTAGTAAATGTACATTCATTCTCGCATGAAGATTTCGGCTTTTATCAGACCTAATATTTCGGATAGTACTGAAGTCCCATAGATCGATTTTTCAATGTCAAAGCTTTCATTGGTTTTTAGACAGGATCAGTATCAACTTACAGAAGTTAACATTTTAATGCTTTTATACATAGTTGAATACTCACTCGTCATTTGTTTACCTATATATAAATAGTTTTCCATACAGATTTTATTACTTTTTATAATGTACTGAAAGTTGCAGTACACTCAAAGCAACAACTTCAAAAGTCGATCTAAGCACGACATCATCATATTTGAGTTAGGAGCATGTACTACCTTTCGTTTCCTAGGTACTGATTACGTCAGACTCAAGCACTCGATAATAGGATGTTGAATAGAAAGTTTAAATTGTTATTGCACGTGAAATGTGTAAATACAAGTTTATTGCTTTCGTCGAGTTTTATTTTAGCTTAGTATGATCTGGATTTTCATAAATTAGTACCTAGTTTCTTCAGTAAAATATTGAGTATTTCTGGTTTTATATGAAGGCTGACACTATAATCTTTATCTTTTTCACTTTATTTGCTTCAGATGTGAGGCACTAGTCATTACCAGATGTCCAGATAAAAATGGGATTAGTATGCTTACTTGGCTTCAAGATATAACATTCTTTTTATTTCTTTTAACTGTCTTTGATTCGAGTATTTTTATATTTTCATAAACATGCACTCTGTTCTAGAATATTTTGTCATGAATATTTTATAGTCTTTTAGTTTATACCTGAGGAATGACTTAGTAAATTTCATCAGTTCATTTGTTTTTGTCATTCGCACCATGACTATTTGGATAGTTAAAATATAATAATTAACATTATTTAAATTTAAGAATTAAAACCTTAGCTTTATGACTATTATAACCATTCTTATTTTTATTTAATTAGATATTTCTTGAACGACTTATACTTGGAGCCGAAGTGGCTATGACATCATGGACATGGCGTCGTCAACTTTTAGCTTGTGTTCTTCTTGCTAGCAAAGTTTTAGATGATCAGGCTGTATGGAATATTGACTATTGCCAAATTCTCCGGGATATCCATGTTGAGGATTTGTAAGTTCAGTAATAAGGAAGGTGATCATATTAAGTTAGTAGTTCTAAATCCCACAGTTCTGACATTTTAAAATCTTTCCTTTCAGTATCAAATGTATTATAATTTTTGGTAGGGACTTTATCAGTATTCCAAATGCCTCTATAATGAACCCTTACTTATCATCGTCGTCCTTGTCTATATATGCCTTCGTGTTAAATTATATTTATGCGACAGTGTATTAACTTTAGCTAGAATTAATTATTATGTTTAAGGTAACTTACCGAATAAATTTATGTTCACAGCATTGATTCACACTGATTATGTGAAGGTTAGTGATATTACTCGGCTACTTAAAATGGAGTAAGTGTAGCGCTGTTAGAACTTGCTACCTAGCAGTTGAAAACAGAGCGCTTCAACCACTAAGCGACCACTTAGTCTGTCGTAATTGTCATAGCATTGTAATTGTTTAGCATTAAGACTAAAAACTGGATATATAGATACATTCTACAATAAAAACATTGTTTTGGAATACAGATTTCCCTATATTCTCTTAGTGTAGTTGGATCTGGATGTGTCTGACTAATCCTGTTAATTTAGTTTATTTTTATTCATTTCCCTTTTCTGTCTATTTTCGCTTATTCTAGTCAGGATTAAAAGGTCGTCTTCAATGGCGAAACAGTCATATTTTTATGTTTGAAAGTTTTTTGCCTTATACATTACTGTATGAACGTGGATATTCATGTAAACATTGCAGCAAATAATAGTTTCAATGCAGCAGTATGATAGGAGGTTGAAGAAAATCCACAGGAAGCCCTTAATATAAATATCAAGCTAGTTGTTACTTGTTAGCAAGAGATGTTGGGATACTAGAAGAGACTGATACTTTGGACGCCATATCTTGCAACATCTCTTAAAGAGGTGTTGTATTTAAACATTCAACCACTCGATATCAAAACTTAGTCTTTAGGTTCTCGAGTCACTTACAGTAGTGGTTATATTGTAACGGTATTTGTATAATTTCATCAGCACCAGACTAGAAAAATATGGAGTTGACTACTTATCAACGATCAATTAGTTTAAATATTTCAACCTTAAAGGAAGTCAATCACAACCTGAATAGCTCAAGGGTAACGTATATTAATGATAACAGATTATATGGTCTCAAATTTCGTAGAAAGTATCAAATAACTCCAGATTGACAATACTTCTTGATGGGTGACAACTGACCCTTTATCTACATTTAAGGCTTCCCCTTGACTACCTTCAGATAACTAACAAAAGCTTACTACACTCGACCCCGAATCATTTAGACTAATGATCACATTGGAACTTGATCGGCAGATTTAAATCAGGATTAAGGACTAGACGAAACATGACATTAGTTACCACTTGGTAATCATTCACTGTAGAACTTACATAGCTTGTATCGTTGCTCCTTTAAGAATAGCATCAAACCTTTCTATTTTTTCCATTGTATACATTACTTGATATTTATATACACTTAACAGAACTTACAGAGTAGTACATGGCCGTAAAAATTGAGGGTGGATGTTACAGACACTAATGCAGAGGAGATATTGATACGAAGGCAGTCCGTAACTCGCACATTCGTATCCGTGTACAAAAAATGTGAAAAGCTGTCTTTTCTGGAGAACTTATACTGTGCTAGAAGATGCTAAACCTTGTTACAAAATTATCCTATACCAAGTGAATGATAAGGACTGAAAAGTATGCTTTAAGAAACAGTTATATTCTTATAGATGAACTTTTCAGAGTCCTATGAGGTCACTTTTTCTGAAGGTTGTAGTTTTCATTAATTCAAATGTCCAAGATTGTATATTTTTACTTACTGATTTAGAAAGTTCTTGCAACTAAAATCATCTCATTTAAATATTTAAAAACAGGAATGCTTTGGAACGACACACATTAAGACTGTTACGGTTTAATATCAATGTACCATTTGGAGTATATGCCAGATATTATTTTGACTTGTTAACCGTTGGGGAGAGCGCTGGAGTCGCAAATCAAGCTGTTAAACGAAAACGCTTAACTCCTGAAAGAGCACGCAACTTCCGAATATTACCTACTAATTTGGAAATATGTACATCGGACAAAACATTATTAGATAGAGGATTTCTTTTTGACTTACCTTCTTTCACAAAATCAGAAGTATTGTGCAATAAGAAAGAGAAACAAAAGCGTATTACTATTCAGAAATCAACAGATGTTAAATGCTACAAAGACGGTAATCATAAAAAGTTCATTAAAACTCCCTTTTTAAGTCGAAATCAGGCAACTAACCATGAAATTAACTTGTCCAACCCAAAGTTTGATCTTATGCTTGATCATGTAACAGTTCCTGTTGATATTAATTATCAGTCTTTCAATAATGTAATTTCCGATGAATCGTTGGTTCCGATCCACCTAGATGAAGAAACCGATTTTGTAAATTCTACTCCCCCAACTTTTTCAAAGTTAAGAGATTTTACTTGTCAGTCGAAACAATCAAAAACAAAGTACTCTTACACAGACCAAGAGCCTTCTAACCAGTTTCATCCCTTATTATTATCATCATCTTTGAATTATCAAAAAGAAACAGTTCCTTGCACGAAGCTTCTGATCAACTCCTCCTGTAAGCCTTTCCAAACGTCAGCTTGTGTTCGGAATTTTAATCCACCTTGTTCCTTAAATGAAGCAACAGGTGTAGATCCCAATAATGTAACCGATTCTCGTATGGGAACAGAGTTTATGCGATCTCTTATGGGTGGCGATGTAGCTTATTCCTTATTACGCGATTCTGGATTGTATTGATTAGCTAAGGTTTAATATATTTGCTTTTAATATTATTTGCGCTATTGTTATTAACGCTGATAGTGAGGAACTTTCTACTAAAATTCTGGCTATTTTGTATTTGTCTGCATTTATTTATTTGCCTTTATCACTAAAACTACTTCTATTTTTACTCAGTTTTATTTTTATTTCATACTGTTTTCTTAACATGCTGTTATTAATAATTTCATTCTTCCCATATGGATGTTAAACATTTTTGAGTCTCTTAATCAAATTCCCCATATATATATATATATATATATATATATATATATATATATACTGTCAATCTAGTCTCTTCTGTATATTCAACAATCTGCAATATTCGAATACAACGATTGTGTTTCCATTACGATTATTAGCAGTAGTATTAGTGACAGCAATTTTATAGCTCTACTATAAGTTGGTATTTTCTTATGTTTCATTTTGTGAGTTTTTCGTACGATGGTTATATATATATATATATACTTTATAAAGAATTGTATGTTTAGTATTTTAGATTCCTCTCATTCGTTTACTACGTATTTACACATGTATAATTGTTGTATTTTCCTCAGATAAGTATTCCTTCTTGTATTTATCATTTGACAGATATATGAATAAATCAAGTTTATTATAGGTATCATATTTATACAGGAAATGATTAACAATGTACATTTTTTGATTAAATAAAAAATAAACATGTGTATGATTTTTAGCTATCAGCAATAGTTTTTATGAGCGTTACTACTTGGATTATATCTACTAACTGCATCACTCTTCAGTAATCACCGATGTTTGGACGTATCTCTTACTAGTGAGTAAAGTTAATACAAGAAACTGGATTTTTCACCGCTCCACAGGCCTGGCGTTTGTTAGTCAACCGAAGGACGAGTTTAATATACAACAGTGCACTTCACATTACTTTACAACTGTAAAATATTGTCTGAAGATTCACGATACTGCCCAACATAGTGGTGATTGAGATACGTTCTGAGACTTACTGGTTAGTGGGGCGGTAGTCATTTTCTGTTCTAGATGTTCAGTGATATCACTGGAAGTCTATCACGGTCCTGTTAATTTTTTATCCGCTTATAAGCCTTTAGCTTTGTGTAATTCTGATTTCTCACTAACATTCGTCCGTCAAACCTGTACTATAAATGTTTGAGTTTTACTATAATTCAGGTCTTGATAAGCTATCCTTTAGTCTTCATCTTATTATCTTTCACTATCCCAATCTCTAAAAAGTTACATTTATCAAACCTGTTTTATGATTCCACTTTGAGTCTTCACAAGCCAACAACCTATTATATTACTTAATTACACCTGTTACTTCCAACGGAGCATAGGCCCTCGACCAGTATTCTCCAACCCACTCTGTCCCGGGCCTTCTTTTCTAGTTCCATCCAATTGTTATTTATTTTTCTCATGTCTATCTCCATTTCTCGGCGTAATGTGTTCTTTGCTCTTCCTGTTCTCACTTACCCTTGAGGATTCCAAGTGAGAGCATACCTTGTGACGCAGTTGGGTGCTTTCCTTAATGTTTACCCTATCCACTTCCAGCGCTTCTTCCTGATTTCTTCCGTTGGCATCTGGTTTGTTCTCCCCCATATTAGGTTGCTGTTGACAGTGTCCGACCAAGGAATCAGAAGTATTTTGCGTAGACAACTGTTAATGAACACCTGTATCTTCTGGATGATGACCTTCGTAGTTCTCCAGATTTCCGCCCCATACATTGGAATTGTCTTAACATTTTTATTGAAATTTCTGACCTTGGTGTTGGTTGACAGTTGCTTTGAGTTCCAGATGTTCTTCAGTTGTAAATATGCTGCTCTTGCTTTACCGATCCGCGCTTTCACATCTGCACCAGATCCACCGTGTTAATCAATGATGCTGCCCAAATATGTAAAGGTTTTTACATCTTCCAAATCTCCGTCAATTGTGATTGGATTGGTGCATTCTGTGTTGAATCGGAGAATCTTGCTTTTCCCTTTGTGTATATTGAGACCTACTGCTGCTACACTGGTCATCTTCTCCTGCATTTGTTGTTGCGTGTGCGATAGAAGAGCCAGATCATCTGCGAAGTCTAGATCACACAGCTGCATCCTATCTCTCCAATGTATTCTGTGCTTCCCTTCAGATTTTGACGTCTTCATGATCCAGTTGGTCACCAGGAGAAAGAGAAAGGGTGAGAGTAAGCAACCTTGCTTGACACCGGTCTTTACTTCGAACGAGTCTGTCAATTGTCCTCCATGCACGATTTTGCAGTGTAATCCATCATATGAATTCTGTACGACATTGACTATCTTCTGTGGTACGTCGTATTGTCGAAGAAGCTTCCATAATGTTGTTCTGTCCACGCTATCAAATGCTTTTTCGTAGTCAATGGAGTTGATGTATAGTGATGAATTTCATTCAATTGATTTTTCCACAATGATCCGAAGAGTTGCAATTTGGTCTGTACACGATCTTTCCTTACGGAATCCTGCCGGTTGGTCACGAAGTTGGGCGTCTACGCAGTTCTTCATCCTGTTTAACAATACGCTGTTGAAGACTTCTCCCGGTATTGAGTGGAGAGTGTTGCCCCTGTAGTTATCACAGTTTCTGAGATCGCAATTTTTTGGTATATTGACCAGAAGTCATTTTCCCATTCTGTTGGTACATGTTCCTCATCCCAAATCTTATTGAAGAGAATATGGAGTACCTTTGCAGTTACTGCTACGTCTGCTTTCAGTGCCTCTGCTGGAATGTTGTCTGATCCTGCTGCTTTGCCACTCTTGATTTACCTGGTGGCCATGCTAATCTCCTCAATTGTTGGTGGGTCAGCATTGTTTGGGAGGTCCGTGGTTGCTGCTTCGATATTGGGTGGGTTCAGTGGAGCTGGTCGATTTAAGAGTTCTTTGAAGTGTTCCACCCACCTGTTTTGTTGCTCTTCAATGTTGGTGATTACCTCGCCTTCTTTGCTTTTCACTGGTCGTTCTGGTTTACGGTGATTTCCACACAGTTTCTTTGTTGTGTCATACAGTTGTCTCATGCTTCCTTCTCTTGCAGCCTTTTCCGCCGTCATTGCTAAATCTTCCACATATTTACGTTTGTCAGTTCTAATGCTCCTCTTCATTTGCTCTTTTACATTTGTGTATTCAGCTTGTGCCTTGGCTTTTTCTTCTCTTGCTCGGCTGGTATTGATTGCTGCCTTCTTGCTCCTCCTCTCTTGAATCTTATCCAGTGTATCAACAGTGGTCCATTCCTTGTGATAGTGGTTCTTGTTGCCCATAACCTCATGACATGTTGAAGTGTTTGGTTCTTTTGTCCCTTTCCAGTTGCTCTTCATAGTAGTTCCTTCTCCATTGATTAGATCCTGAAAGGCCTGGACTTTATTGCTGAGGGCTATCTTGAATTTGTTGACTTTATCAGTATCCTGAAGAAAGGCCGTATTAAACTTTCGTGATATTGTCTGCCCCGTTGTGCAGTGCTTCTTGAGTTTCGACTTCATCTTGGTGATCAGCAAGTGATGGTCTGATGCTATATCAGCTCCTCTCTTGTTTCTCACGTCTCCGGTCTCCCACATTGTACCAGCATTCCGTGAACCTAAATAAATGGTTGCTCTGGTTGTCAGGATGGGTATCGGCCTCGTGACGTCCGAAGAAACTCGGCCTTCATCATGAGGCGTCATCACTCTTCTAAATGAAAAACCTATGATTCCCAGGGCAAAGTTCAAATTGTTCGAATATTTTTTTCTGATTGGCGATTTTTAACGAGTTACTTTTCTACGCGACGGAGTCGCTAACTCCATGCTTAACCCTCCTCCTTTATCCGGGCTGGGGACGGCAGTAGCCTCCGGTGGGGCTCCAGGCGGATTTAACCTATTATATAGAGAATAGTGAATTGTCTAGAAAAGATAAAAGTCCTGTGTTAAGATAGCATTTAGCGTAGCGTTTCGACTAAGGGCTTCATCAGACCTCATTGTAATGCATGCAGTGTTTTTTAAAGCCATAAGAGGGAACTAATCAAGATGATTCATGTATTAGTGATAAGATGCATTTGTGATCTTTTATTGTGTACAGTTCCTTGTGTATTTGCAGCTACGTTTTGTGTCGGTCTTGCAACGTATTTTATATTCACTACCGTTACTTACTTTATTTGGGAACACGATGTAGCCTCGTAATAGACAGGCATATGTTAACTCAAGCGTTACGGTGTATAATCATGAAATAATCGAATAATTTTCATGGTCCTTAGAAAGCGATATCTTTCGTTCCCGTTAGTCCATATATGAAATTATGTTCATATTCAATCTGCTTTATTTTTATATACTAATTGTACATCTTATATCAATCTCGATCGTCTGGTTCCCTCTACTTGCTCCTTGATACCGAATGCACAGTGGTTTTATAACTTCTACTTTGTTGGTTATGGGATTGTCTGCATATATAATAATCATGTCGCTAATATCAAGGCACCCCACCTCGTGAAGTTTCTGTTTCTTCTAGTTCTTAAAATGCTTTGCTTTCTGTGCAACAGTATGAAAACTTCGTAAATTACTACAACGAAATGGGAATATATTGTCGCTGGACATCAATTCAGAATCCAATATATTCGCTACGGGTTTGTTCAGATCGTTTTAAATCTTTGTGGCTGTATATGATTGCTTTGCTACAGTTTCCAGTATTCGGTCGTAGTTAATAAGGAGCATTTTGCGAGACGTCAGCCTTGTTATAAATCACCACGTGCTTGGATTTTTGATAGGTTATTACATCACTGTTGGTGCTAGTTTTTTTTAAGTATTTAATCACAAGTGTCATTGTATTAACTCATTGTATAACTCTGCTAGATTTGTTACTATTTCCAAGTCTGGTTAAGTGAGTAGGATTGGACATAGAGTTAACAATCATATGCTGCAGAAAGCATTTTTGCTAAAAAAAACGTTAACTAAGTGTTGTGAGATCTTCGTTTAGAAAACGTCTGACATCTAGTGGTGTAAGCCGAAATTTCTATGAAGCCACGCGTTCGATGCTTTTTCTAACAAACAGAACAATATGGGTACAAGGAATATCCGGGTACTTTTGGAGACAGGTAGGATCAATCGTACAGCTATGTAAATGAGGAGATAACTTTATGGTTGTAAGAGTAAGTGAAACACAATGAAATAAAGCTAGAGAGAAAAGGATAGATTCGGAAGAGATGCTGATGTACTCCGTACATGAAGAAAAAATGCTCCACAAGTGCAAGGAGCTACTCTGATACTGTCCTGAGAAGCTATCAGAAGGGTATTTCATGTATCGAAATCATCTGAGCGCGCTTCAAAACAAAGGTGAGGGATCCTAATAGATGTTTCTCAGTGCTATGCACTCATCGATGACAGAAATGAAGAAGATCGACATCATACGGAATTTATAAGACGGACCACATGGCAAGGTCATACACGGAGAATAGTTGACAGATGCACTTCAAGTGAGGACCGGAGTCAGAAAAGGTTGCGTACTCTCGCCCTTATCCTTAATTCTGGTGGTTGACTGGATTGTGAAGACCATATCTGAGGGAAAGCACGAAATGCAATGGATAGCATGCATGCAACTAGACGAGTTGGAATCCACAGATCCCTTAACTCTTTTATTTCATTACCACGTCTGAACTCATATCAAGAAAAGCAGTGTAGCAGCAGCCTCTGCATCAGTAGGCCTCAACAGACACAAGAGACAAAACAACATCCCCAAACACAACACGGAGAATATCAATCGACCCAACCACACTTCATGAAGAAACTCCGAGAGAGAGATGGAAACTATCACTCACCTAACCAGGCAGCGCCATTGATGAACAAGGAGGACCTTATGCAGATGCCAAAGTAGGATCGGTAAAACAAGGGCAGCATTCCTTCAGTTGAAAAATACATGGAACTCAAAACAACAGTCAACCAATATCAATGTCAGAATCTTCAGTGCGAACGTCAAATGGTCCTGCTTTACGGAGCTGGAACTTGGAGAATTACCACAACCATCATCATAATGGTGCAAGTATATATAAAAAATTGTTTACAAAAGAAACCGAATGACAGGATAACATGAACAGCGATCTACTGTTGGATAGAACAAACCAGCTTCCAGATGATGGGTCAATTCGGGAGAGACGTCGGAGGTGATGGATGGTACATCATCAAACTGCATCACGAGGCAAGCACTGGAATCGTGGAGGTCGAAAGGAAACGGGAAGACCAAAGAACACATTACGTCTGGATTTGGAAGTAGACATGAAAATGAAGGATAGCAACCGGGAAAGTCAGAGTTTGACGGAGAATGCTGTTGGGCGGCCTGCGCTATTGCACGAGGGTAAACAGGCTTAAGTATATCTGGATACTCAGAGTGTACAATAGAGACTAGTTTATGTTATATCAGAAATACTTCAAAGTGTAAAGTAGTCCATCTGCGACATGTCGCAAACTACAGTTACAACTTAGGAAACTCCTCTCTAGTAGTATCCCAAGTTGAAAAAGATTTAGGAGTCCTGGTGCCCCATGACTTAAAGTCTTACGCTAACTGTGACAAAAACGTCTTCCGAGCAAACCTTGCACTGGTAACGTTGAGGCGCATTTTTGGCCAGTTTGACGGAAGAACTTTCCACACAATCTTCAATAGTTTCATCCGTCCCGATTTAGAGTACGGAAACATAGTACTCCCACCTCACTCCAAAAGGACAAGGTCACTTTGGAGCGTATCCAACGGCGAGCCACGAAATCAGTTCGAGGACTCAAATCTAAGCCTTACGAAGAACGCCTCCGTTCACTAGACCTTTACCCACTAGAATATAGGCGTCTTAGAGGTGATTTATTAATGGCTTATAGTATTCTTAACACTTCTGAACATCCTCTTAAACACCTACTTAAGCTTAGTTCGAATAATAACCTAAGGGATAACACCCAGAAACTGGGAACACAACATAGCAAGACGGAATGTAGACACAACTTCTACTCCTTAAGAGTTGTCAAAAGCTGGAATTCGCTGCCGGCCGAGCTAGTCCAAGCGACTTCTCAGGAGTCCTTCAAGATGCAACTTGACCTATTCTTAAGAACCAAGAACAGCATCACACTATGATTTACCAATTTCTTTTCCTCCTTCATTGATAACATACCTAGGTTCCTGCCTGGAGGATTTGGTGATCCCCTGCTACTAGACACGGAAGCCTGTTAAGCGAAAGCTTCTTCTATTCCGTCCACAACCATTTGAACCATTTGAATTTTAAGATTGTAGAATCTTACGCAGCGCTATAATATAAAGCTAAGCGTCAGCACTGCTTTGATGGATATTTAGACTGACGACAAAACATGATCAAAAACATCGTGTTTGTTGTAATATATCGATAAGACCTAACCTAATATGTCAGTTAAGGCGCTTAGTTTGTGAGTTGCGTTGGTTGTCCCCGCGATTACCAGTGAGTGTTCAAGAAAGTGTTGTTTTTGTGTTTTGTTTGGGTTATCCTGAACGTTTATCGTTATTAGTAGTAATAATAAGCTCAATGTCGTTTCTCAGGAACTCAAATGACAAATATTCGTACAATGTCGATTTGACTACTTGTTTTTCGTATTTGGACTTACATTTTCGTAATAAATATCGATAACTCCGTTTAAGATTCTGTGTTACTAATTTTCATAGTACATATTTTAGCACAGCAGTTACACTTGTAATTTTTGCTTTGTTAAAACGTACTCACCCGCTACATATTACTGTCTTATACTTATAAACCTTAAGAGAGAAACGTGGTTCAAATGTAATAAATTTCATATTACTTGACATCTCTCACTGGAGAAATGCTCTGATATATTTTGTGAGCGTCAAGTGCCAAGTAAATCGCTAAAAAGTGTATTTTCTATGGTATTGTTCTGTAATGAGGTTTATCGGTGGGACTATAATTTATGGACGGCTTTTGAGCGACTCAAGTGAACTTGAAAGTGTTTACCTACTTACTCGGGCTAAATGAGGGTTGTAAAGCAGTTCGTAGAATAGGGATTGCGATTTACAGTTGATGGTTAGGGTTTCTTCATCACAAACTGACATCAGCTATAATGCCAAGAATCTATTTAGCTAAATGAGTTAATAAATTTAGCTCCAAAATCTAATACCTGTTGTCATAAGTCTGATTGGCTCGTCCATAAATCATAATCTCGCCGCTTTTATCAATTGTCATAGACCATTGATCCACTCATGAAATATGCACATGTCCATCAAGTGATTACAGTAGAAATAGTTGGTAGTAGTCAGACGCTATGCCAGTTCAGTGAATTTGTATAATTGAAAATAATACATGAATACAACTGAACAAAAAGTAAGCAGAATTTCTGTACCGGGTGACAATTCTGAAATGTTGTAAAATGATGAAATCTAAAAGTTAGTCTCCATACATGTAGCTACTGAGTTGCACTTATAAGGTGTAGATACTCATCATCAACGCTATCCCGATTATTTTTAATGTACATAAGCGAAATATAGATTCAGTTATATTGCCTAGTTAACTTTCTAACCCGTTAATACACTTATCACTATCTTGCAGCTCGTTACTTGTCACATTAGAAGATGCTTTTGAGTCTTGGGTTACTTTAGTTTAAGAATTTATCTTCAGATAGTCGAAATACAAGCCAATTACAGTAGTGCATTTATTTTTGATGGGGTTTTCTCTGAACTGGGTGGTTTGGTCGTGGAGCTCTCATCGTTCTGAACGATGTCATCAGCACAAACTTCAGGTAGAAGTGCATTTATTTCTACCCAAAATCAGTTTATTCTGTTCCTTCGAAGATGACTAGGAAGCCTTCGTACTACTCACTCCACTTTTCTATGTAGACATTTTGATACGTTATCGTTTAGGAAACCCTATATATATATATCTCCATAAACCTCGGAGTTCGCATTTGTAAACTTCGTAAGTATAGTAGCATAAAGTCACGTTTAATCGGTTGCTGTGTCATGTATCAAGCTTTTTCCTGCTTCCCTAACGTTAAAATGATATTTAGACGCATCAGGTGTTGTCTTATACCCTTGTGCTTTTAGATAAACATCCAAAAGAATCAGGTAAGACTGTAATTTAGGGACGAACAAGTCAGACTTAGTTCAGAAAGGCCTAGATGTTGGCGCGAAGCTCATGCATCCAAATGGCTAAATAGCATTTCTATGTTATAGCCGATGTCATTTCATTGTGATATCCCTTGCCCTAATTCCTAACCCTAACACTAACTACAGATTCTAATCGCTCACACTTAGACAATGTTGCGTCTAACCTAAACCTGTCAATACAGGTAGCTACTTTTCATGGCACCACATTAAAGGAAAGTGTGTAACACTAATGATATCGAGATGACTGAATAACTGGAAATGCAAAGAAAAAGAAAATACATGAAATCAGGCTGTCGGTCGTATGAAAATATACTATTTTCAAGACCTACAGAGATAATTATTCTCTGCATTGTTCCGAATTATTTTTAGATATGTCACTTGGAGCGCAAAAGGTTTCCAAGCTTTAGAGGTACTAGGGGAACGTAAGCAGCATTTGCTAGTTTCTAACTTTATTATATAAGCACATCTATATTTTGCTGTAAGTCCCCTGAAGTCCTGCCACCTACGTAATGCCCGTGGTTTTGAATATGTGGGGTTATTTGGTAGCCATATAAAATTTATTTGCTATATTGATTGATAAGTTCTTGTTGATATTTTATGTTCTTCATCAAACTGCAAACTATTTTAACAAGATATAATGGGTTTCTTCATATTAATCAGTGATATTAAGGTTGTCAGTAATTTCCTGCTCTTGCCTAACTTCACTTTTACAATGAAGCACTGGACGACAAACGGTAACATACTGATTGACTTTCCATTTAAGGCACATTTGGTACTAACATGACTAGCAATCTTGTTCTATGTCTGTAAGAGAATCAGTCAAGCAATAAATTCGCATATGGTTGCTATATGTACATCCTCTACAGCTCAATAGTTAAATCAGCCTCTTTTCTAGAAGTGGTGTTATTTTACTTTTTATCAGATCTACTCAGTCATGAAACAATTCGCAAAGAGCTTTATTTCACGTAGAGAATCTAAAAAGTCTGTCTGAAGCTATGGAATTATGAATAGCTCTTGCTTTTGCATATTTTTAAGCAGATGTGGTGTTTTGAATTCTGTATGACTAGTTTCTGGCATATTCGTAATTCAGTATACGGAAGCCAACATATTTTTGGAGAAGTATCTTGTACAATTTTTCCAAACTTTATTAAAATAGAAATCATCAGTCTCATACAGTTTCATCTACTAGGTCGTGAGCTACACCTTTTCCGTGTAACAATGTTATCCGGTTCCTTAAACCCTTGATAAAGTGAATCTCTGTCCGAACCGTAACACTGTGATTGAAGTTTAAATTCATTAATCTTATGTCGAATGGGTACTGTACACTATATCTCATTATAATGACCAGAATGCTCTCTGTTCTTGAGTCTTCTCGGGCTCAATGAGATAAAAATGATGAAACCATGTTAACGTGAGGATTCATTTGCTGTAATTTTACCATATTCACAGGCGCACAGTAATTCAGATTTCGAATTTGTTCTGTTAAATTGTTCACATTTGTATGTTTATTGGTTTATTTATAATCAAACTTTCTTTTCCGCTAAGTTTTTATCCAAAATGAGTGAACTGGACCAGCTACGGCAAGAAAGTGAACAACTCAAAAATATGATCAGGGTGAGTCTGCGAATTTCCATTCACAGTAGTTATTAATTTAAATATGTCTTCCTTGGTTTCCTATAAGCCCTAACAAGATTTATCTTTTGTGTTAACTGGAGCTTAAAAGAAAACAAAAAGTGCTCACCATCAAACGAATCAGGGCTGAAAGTATTTCATCATACAGTAAACGCGTATCAATGATTAAAGTGCTTGTTTAATCTTTCTTGAATGTGTAATGTTTCCATATTTCTTCCTTCGATGTTGATTTATTTCCTTGATTATTTCAAACATTGCTATTAATTTCCCGTCAGCGCTGTTGAAATGCATGACTAGTTGAATCAGTGGATTGCTGTTTGATATGCCACATTACTAAATCAATTTATCAGCCAACTTACCTTCATTTTGCTTTGTAAACAATTTTAGTGGCTAATTCGGAATGTAAATTCATAATTCTTCGAAAAATGTGAATTTAATAGAATATAGATTTAATTGAACCAATAGTTAGTATGTAAATTTACTTAATTATAGAAGAACACTACTATCATGCTAGCAATTTAGAAGCTATATTTTCTCATCAGAGTTTGGCAGATTTGTTCCTTCGGTAATTATTCGTTTATGAAACTCACTTTACACACTTATCGACATGATAATATGTGTAAGAATTGCGGTAAAAGTTCAGTTTTTTTTAACAGTGTAAACCGGTATTCACTTTTTGAGGCCGTAAGGTCATATAAAATTAGTTAGTTCGAAATGTCACTGATATCCCTAGCTTATTTGTATTTTGAAATATTTTTAAAATTCAGTTTTTGGTCGATGTATAATTCACCGTGATCAAAACGTATAATCCGTAGTGGATAAAACTCGATTTTTTAAGTTGTGGAAAATAATGATATGAATATCAGCTTTCATTGTTTATGATTGCGCTTGTTCCCAATATCCAGTGGTTTCTGTTCATTTTCTTCCAGTCCAATGTATTAATTATTTTTTTCTATTCAATTAATATATTAGGCATTAAAGTTTCCTCTACTAATTTAAGGGTTTAAACCCTGATCCATGTACTTAATCTTGAACGTTCATAGAATATCCATTGTATTTCCATCAGTAGGTTTTGTTTATAGTCTTATAAATTAGACTCTTCGTAGCTGTAATGTTGCTATCATATACTATATTTTCAAGGGCTGACTTACTATATACTCGATACAACAGTGATGCAACAATTTAATTTTCGTTTTTCATCATATTACGCAGTCAAATATCAAGTTTTACTTCCCATCATTCCTTAACCTAATATAGGACTAAAAACGTTAATATGTTGTCTGCCGCATTTTGTTCCTCTATAATTGAACGTGTCGTTTATAAGATATAACAGTAAACGCGTAAATTTACTACAAGGGACTAAGTATTATTGATGGATCGGTTTCAATTTTGATTTCCATGATAACTTATCAAAATTTATTCCTTGACAAAAACAGACAACTTTTATTCGTATAAATATGTAATTCAAGCAGAAACTTCTCTAATCGTCTTGGAAACTTCAGATTTCCTCTTCTGTGCATCCTGAACATCTGAAATTCCGTTAAAATTGTTAGTATGAACATTTTTAAACTATACTTTTACTTGTAAAATTTGACGTGTACTAAATGGTATTTACATGATTTAGACAGCCAGTCTTACTAAAACTGCCTCTCTGTACTAAGCTACTCACGGTCATCTTAAGTAAAATATTACATAGTTCGGTAACCGCACGTAATTTAGAAAATGAAGTATGTTTTTTAAGTCTTTGAATCAAGTACAGAAAATAACTTCAGATTACCTCACCGGACTACTATGGATACAACGATCGACTTATTATGGTTTGTTTAAATCCGTGAGTTATGTATTCACTAGTGTAGCTACATGAATAGGGAAATCAAACGTTTGAACACTTGGATAAACATAAGTGATATATTTTTTGAACCTGTTGTTACGGAAGCGAAATCTTTATTTCCATTCAGTGCTCTCGAGTTTCTTGGCACTTTCAAGCTACACAAAATGAATTCAACGACCCAACTTCACTTTTGTTTTAACGTACACAATTTCATATACCTAGTTCTAGTGATATTTATTCACTGAAGCTGGTATTTTGCATCTAAAAGAGGATATTATGCTTGGTAGCTGCAAAGAAGAATGATTTTCAAAGTTTTCACATATTTTTCTGCAAAAATAGATAGCAGTGTACGAGTAGTTATTCAACTGTTGTTCAGACAAAATTAAGTTAGAAAGTAATATCATTGAATAACAGTTTATATGTTGTGTAAGTAATAAATCAACATTTTGCCACAGTCAGAATAACCTAGTTGGGATAGATCTTATTTAGTTGCTCGAGGAAAATCATGTGCATAAATTGGTCAGTTGATCAATATATGGGAGTTATTTAACGACTAAACCTGGTTTATTGTGGATGGGTAAGTATACATAGCGTACAGTTGATGTGTCTTAAATTGACGAGATTCACTCCTGGATTCATTTTCAATACATGAATACCACAATTCTCCTTTGTCTCTTATTCCCGACAACTCCAAGGACGAATCCGTAGTGAAAGGTTTATTTAATAGAAGGCAATGAAAACTGATATAAACTAGTGACGCATTCAAATTTCATGTACAATGGCCTTGGAAATAGGGAAAAACTTTGGCACACTAAAAGAACCGCGGTTGTTTAATAAATTAGCTACGTGCGTCTAATAACTATCTACTTCAATTATCCTTTCTGTTCGATATGAATGTAGCATGCTACTGGTCTGTGTATTATGTGTTGATTATTGATTTCAGTCACAGTGGAAACTGAAACCTGCTTAGATTTGTTGTTTACCATTATAACTGAGATAAATTGTAAATTAATACGACTCTTCCAAGTCAATGCTAATATTGTTAGGATGAGGTATTGTGGAGATTGTATTGATTTTAATAATTGAATTCATGAGCCGAAGCCGTAACTAGTGGAGTCCAATCCGTAAGATTATAGATTCATTGAAGTTAGACATCAACATCGTTAGATGCCGGCTCAGTGGTCTAACGATTACGTGTTCGCGCCTGAAACCGAAGGCCCTGGGTTTGAGTCCAACATGCTGTGTCATAGGTGCGCACTACTGATGAGTCCCGTGCTAGTAAGAAACAGCCATCCAATGCTTCTAGGTTTTCAATGGTGGTCTAACCTAGATCGAATCATGAATTCAACCATTCAAATACTAATGTTGATATATTCACTGTTTACATTATTTTATGACTTAAATACTCTATCACTCTAACTCAATTCACTGAAATTATCAACAAAACCTGTAATAGTGTTGTTAATTATGTAAAAATATATATGGTGATGTTGTCCTTTAAATTATAAAGAATTTTTAACTATGCCTATGGCTTAAAATATATGACTATGTTACAGTTTCAGTTATACCGCTTGATTCTGTTCAGTGTACAAATTCAGTCACTACAGGGAAAGTAGTAATGTTCAAGAATACAATTACAAAGTGTTTAAAATGGGACTCGAATACATTAATTGTTGATCGTTCGTTCACAACAAGACAGAGAATGAAGGCTGATTTTCATAGGAAAGCTTTATTGTCTCGAGAAGAGAAAAAATATTACATTATCATCGTACAGATAATTAGCAAGGTGTATGTTACAAATATTACTAGCGCGAATGTATATCTTTGTATTTTTATTTATTGTTCGACTGAACGGGAACTGAACATCCCTTATTTCATTCGTGAATTCTTCTCTAATATTCTTATTATTCTTCTACCGTATACGTGAATTAGTTTACTGTGAATAAAGTTAGTTGAAAATCCTTTTATCTTATCGATATTTTATAAACCTCTGCTCCAATCTAATCTCCGGTTTTTTACTAAGTAAAGGTTTATTTAGTCGGCTCTGAACTACACTACTATGGTAAAGGCAATGGGATCGAAGTAGGAAGTGCGTAGTCTGAACTTGTAACTGGTTTAAAGCCAAATATTTTAATCAACAAACTACCACTACGTAGCGTAGGTGTAGATTATTTGGGTGAGGTGTAGAAATATAGTTTTTTAAAGGAAATATTTAAGTTGTTGAAATTGATAGGGTTTAAAGTGTTCAAACTTTTAAAAAGTATAAACTGTGTAATTTTCTTCTAATGACTGAAAAATATATTTCATAATATTTTATCTGAATATGGTAATTTATTTTTAACAGTAAATAGAAACCTTTACTTTTCTGTTGAATTATAGTCTACTAGTCAGTTTGTTTTTGTCTATATTATTGTCATCGACTACTTTTTTGTTTGCTAGGAGGCCCGCAAAGCTGCAGCTGATACTACGCTACTTCAAGCATCTAGTAACGTGGAGCCAGTAGGACGAATTCAGTTGCGTACTCGTCGTACTTTACGCGGCCATTTGGCCAAAATTTATGCTATGCATTGGAGCACTGATTCGCGCAATCTTGTATCTGCCTCACAAGATGGCAAACTTATAGTTTGGGATGGGTATACTACTAACAAGGCAAGAATAAGTTTGTTTAGAAAATATAAATATACTATACAGAATCGTAGATTATGTAAATATTTTCATCTATTTTTTTGTATTTCATGTAATTCAGTATTGTCATAGTTCGTATCTGCTGTATCCCTACTTAATTATTTTAAGTGAGATTGACATTGGGAATCCGAAAACTTTTTTTAAATTGAATGTATTTATTTTAATAATGTTTTTTGGGATCCACGCTGTTTTCTGTGTGCTTGTGTTGACTATATTTGCTTTTTTAAAAATTATTTAATCAGGTCACCATCTCAGAAACTTGTAAGTTCATCAAGTAGATTGATAATGTAAGAATGTAGTATTCATATCTTAAGTTAGTTTTCATTTTTAATTAGTTGTTTGTTACACATTCCAGCGTTTTATCGTTATCTGTGCAAGTAATGACTAGTTTCTATTTCATGTCAAAATTCTGTTGTAGGTTCATGCCATTCCTCTAAGAAGTAGTTGGGTCATGACCTGTGCCTATGCACCTTCCGGTAATTATGTCGCATGTGGTGGTTTGGACAACATTTGCTCCATTTACAATCTTAAAACACGCGAAGGTAATGTACGTGTCAGTCGTGAGCTTCCGGGACATACAGGATACTTATCATGTTGTCGTTTTCTTGATGATAGCCAAATTGTAACAAGTTCTGGTGATGTGACTTGGTATGTGTCATGTGATTCACTCAATTTTTTCTTGTGTTATGCTATTAAAAGAAGTTCGTTACATTTAACTCTGATTTATTTACTATAATTTCACTTTGTAATTAGTTTACAAGGTGCATCACAATCTCTATTCATTAAGAATGACTACTAATTACCAAGAGATCTTTGACAAGAATCGTCTGATTTTTAAACCACATAGGTAACTATAAGATCCATGGAATTACATTGATTTTCAAAAATATATTGTCACTTTTGGGTGACAGAATTAGTAAGAAAGTAGCTATGTTGGTAGTCGTTTGTTACATTAAGCCAATAGTAAGATATTAAACATGCTTAAATCTTTAGTTATTTTCTTCCAAATAAAAGTTGTATTAGCCTGATGATACATGTAGCTTAGTATGAAAAATTAAGCCTTCAGTTATTAGTGAAAATTAACATTCATTTCTAATTTTTGGTATGGAGTACAGTATACAGTATCATTTTTTATAAAAGTATTCATTCTGTAAATGTTTTTGGAGCAATGAACTTTAAAGCATATCAGTTGCTTTCATAGAATCTAATATACACAGAGAGCTATCTATTATTTCACTTTTAAGCATTACTGTTAACAACCTATGAATATATTTAAATTAAAATCTTTTTTATTAATTCGAAAACTAATTTATGTAGCTGTAAAATATTTTACTCATCATGTTTTCTATGAAACAATCTATAAAGTACAATCCCGTAAACATTTTAATCAATATTTGTTTCTTAAATGCAAGTTTATAACATTAAAATTTATTCTTGGTTTCTAAGTGAAATAGTAAGGATATTTAAAAAAAGAAGAAATTAGTTTACCGTACATTATTAATAACTTATAAAAAGCAAATATTTATGAAATAAAACTAACCTAGTTGATCGATTATGTCATACTAATGAACTGTATTTAAAATAGTTCGCGTACTTCCAGTTTATATGTTTCTCGGGATTACTTATGATATAATCTGAGTCTTATATATATATTTCTATACTGATAGTGTTTAGTCGACTGAATATTTTATATTAATTTACCCGAAAATTTGTATAATCTGAATAAAACAATTACATTCAAAAAGAAAAAAATATTAATAAATATAAAAAGGTGGCTATTAATTTTTACCGAAAAATGATAACGAAAAATTTAACTCTTCCTTTCTACTGTATATCAGAATATTTTAGTAAATTCTTATCCAGTAAACTAAGTGACTCTATTGCTATATTTTACTTAGTATTTGCATGTGCTGTATAAATTGGTTGAATTAAAATGTTTGTGTTTGTACAAATGGCGATCTGGCTGAAAAAGATTGAACATCCAATGATTATTTAAGATCAATTACTTTCTATAGTTGTGAAAGCCCAATCCTCCTAGCTGAGAATGTGTGACAACTCTATGTTCAGGCTCTGTTGTCTCCGGAGCATTGCTGATACCCAGTATCAACACAGTGTTAATAACGCAGATGTTTGAACGGCATAATGATATTCCAGTTATAATCACCATCTTAAGGCACCAACTTTGGCATCTTAGGTATGGTTTGCGAACGTCATCCCGTTGAATTTCATATCACACTCTCTCTAACTCTGAACCTAGGTGGGAAGGAAATCAGTTTATGGCATGTACCTGTGGTATTAAAAAAGTGACTGTATAGGATTGGGGCCTCTTGGTACACCAAGACTTCCCGATTGGGACCCTTGTTTGTGGCCAACAGTGACTTAAGAAGTTCCAGAAGTTGGCAGCGATCCTGTTGTAGCTTCACGTCAAATTTCTCCTAAAAATAAGATTACCGTCCTCAGCTGGAAGAGATCTATTGCAGTTTTACTTTCAGCGAAACTATATTTTTGTCAAGGATCGTCGTTGTTTATTTGTATAGTGATTTTACGACTGTTGTCTCCTTTTTTGTTCAATTTACTTTCACTTCTTTTGTGCCTTACTGCATCAGGAATACTGTGCTATAAGTCAATAAATAAATAATGACAGGGGTGAATGTGCATTTGGTTTCACCAGTTTGGTTATGAAATTATTGGTCTTACATATTTTTACTCATTATTCTCCGGGTCAGTTTATTATCCAATGAATAACATTATGTTGAATTTTGGCTAACCCTAACCACTCTACTACTCTGGCAGAGATCACCTCGGGGTAGACAGTAGCTAGGAATGAGCTACACATATTTAAACTATTCCAGTCGATGAATTTCCACAGTCTTATTAACTGATTCGCCGTCTGTACCTAGTACTTTACATTTAACCTCACTATTTTCCACTCAGTTGCTCCATTTTACGCGAGTAATCTTTTGAAGTCAGCTCTAATAAGATAACAAAATCTACATGTTTTCCGTTTTCATCGGGGTTGTTTCACATCCGAAAATTAGTACGAAGTGAGATGCTGTACAATATGCTCGTCATTTGTTAAGTAGACGAACACAGTAAAAGTCAAGTGAGGTTCTATCTATTTTTAAAATTCATCAGCCTCCAACCTAACAGATTTCACAGGAATCTGGAGAAGCACTGGATAACTGGAGAAACAGCATTACAGAGGTTTAATACAGCCTTTCTTCGACATACTGACAAACTCAACGAATTCATGACAACTCTCAACAACAGGTTCCAAGCCTTACAAACTCTAATCGAAGAAGAGGAAACCAACATGGAGAACAATTGGAAAGGTACCAAAGAAGCACTGACTCCAAAGTGTCAGGAGGTTCTGAACCTCAAGAAGCATCATCATAAGGAATGGATCTCTATGGATACCCTGGACAAGATTCAAGAAAGCAAGAACGAAAAGACAGCAACCAACAACAGCCGAACAAGAACAGAGAAAGTCAAAGGACAAGCTGAATACACAGAAGCAAACAAGCAATTGAAAAGGAGCATTAGGGTTGACAAGCAGAACTATGTGAAGGATAGTGGAAAACTGCATGAGAAGGAAATATGAAACACCTTTATGACACGATGAAGAAACTGACAGGGATATATAGTAAGCCCGAGAAACCAGTCGGGGACAAAAAAGGCAAGCCAATCATTGAAATTCAAGAACAACGGAACAGGTAGGTAGAATATTCCGAGGATCTCTTGAATTGGCCAGCTCGATTGAATCCACCAGACACCGGAACAGCACCTACAAACCTCCCTATGGATGTCTCTCCGCTATCGATAGAGGAAATCAGGATGACCGTTTATCAGACAAATGAGTGGGACCTGACAGTATACCAGCTGAAGCACTGGAGTCAGACATAGAAGTAACTTTAAGATGCTCCACGTTCTATTCAGGAAGATTTTGAAGGAAGAACATGTGCTGACAGACTGGGAAGAGGGATATCTCATCAAGATACCAAGGAAAGGAGATCTGAGAAAATGTGAGAACTATGGTGAAAAAACCTTACTATCGGTACCAGGAAAAGTCCTCACATACCCCATTCTAGATAAGCTCATGATAGTTTTATAAAGGTAACCACTTCATTTTTGGCGTCATTTAATCGAAGCAGCTTGATTATTAAGTTGCATTAGTTATGAGATTTTTATCGAAACGAAAACTTCGTACATTAAAACCAAACCTAAAGAATAATGAAGTTGTTAGCATAATCAAAAGTCCAAACATATATAATTATACCAACGTTTTTAGTATGATATTTAATGCTTTCTATAAATTAGAAAGTACATGTCTGTGATACACTTTTTTCTATCATTTCTTGTAGTTTTTTATTATTGTTATCAGTACATTTCGTTTGTGAATGAATATACTGTCCTTTATCAACAAGAGTTTCTGTCATTATGATCTTGACAGTGCTATATTTCTTTTTCTTATAGTGGACTTTGGGATATTGAAACTGGGCAACAAGTTGCTACTTTCACAGGTCATACAGGTGATGTAATGAGTCTTAGTTTAGCACCTGATCTACGGACATTTGTTTCAGGAGCTTGTGATGCGTCGGCAAAAGTTAGTTTCTATTATTTGAACTTCATTCTCAGTAATTTGATATAATTTTAGCATAATCTTAGTACTAATTATGTTCATTTCTAAAATTAGTCTTTTTTTAAAGCTTCACTTTTGTTTGATGGAAATAGGAAGAATTTTTTTATCGTTTATAAAGGTTCACTGTAAACGCCCTGAAAAATTTATCCTTGTCTACGGCTGTCATGAAATAAAGCTGAAATTCACACGCATTCTCTTATTTTCATCTAATTAACCAACCTCTGTTGCTATAGTAAGTAGTAGTTAATTCTTTTTTACTCATGTGTACTGGTTTTTGGGCGTACACGGTCACCAGTTCGAACTTCGAAAAATATCAAAGAAATAAATATAAACACGTGCTATATATATATATATATATATATATATATATATATATATATATATATATATATATCAACTAATTGCTCACGCGTTTCTGATATTTAATCAATATAAAGTAAGCTGATATAATAGCTTTGGGATATAAAACCTTGTTCAGGCCAGTAACATTGCTTTTCGATTTCTTCTTTTTTTATTGATCGATATTGTCTATTTACCGACCATTCTTATGCGCCTGCCTTGTCTTTCTATCTCTCATTCTTTCTACCCCTGGCTTGAAATTTTATTCCATCTCTGGTTTCTAATACGATGACTGCCTGTCTGTTTAACGTTAACGCTTTGCATGTCCGTTCAAATATTTTTTTTTAATTTTTGGCTCGGCAAACATTGCCCATACCTCACAAATAAAAATATCTAATCATACAAATATATTTCACGCTCATATCCCTTCTTCCAGGGAAATAACGGTAAAATAACTTAATACTAATTATTCTACTGCTTACTAAGCTGGTCTAGGTAACTGTTGTTAAAATAAAATGATACTAACCTCTTTTTTTAAGTATTATGCTGATCGATTGTTTGGTTTGTTAGGAGAAAAAAATCCTCAAGTGTGAATCATAGTGATGTGATTAGATCACATCAGCCTCTTCGTTTTAGTTAACGTGTCTTAATAGAACTGTGATTTAATAAGTAGTCCAACCACTTAGTTCCAGGCTCTAACCCGTTCCACTCGCTTCCATTACACAAATATAGTCAAAACCAATTCCACGAATTTGTACTTAATGAATAAATGATATTGAGTTACGAAAAAATCTGTACTACGAAAAAAAAGATGCCTTTTTTTTTACCTCAAGACGTCATTCTGTTCTACCAACTCATCTAAGGAAAAATAAATCCAAAAGTAACTAACTGATAAACATCGGCAATACTCAAACGTAGATACATTTTATCTATAGAAGAACACAACTAATTGTTTTATGTCTTCATAGTTTCCCAATTACTAAGTTTTCCTATCCATCGATCATCACGAAATAACCTAAATGAAAATTCCAATGCAAAAAAGCTTGCTTACAATTGACACCACTGATTGCTAATATATTCGTTAAATTGGTTAATCTTGCATCCATATACTGTATTATTTTTACCAAATACTTTACATCTGATTATAACAAAAGCTTTCAATGAAAAGGTAATAAACGTTATCCTTTCATATTACGAGATTTAGTTGCAGTGGAATACTTTTGAGATATTTCCTACACTTCCTACATCAATGGTTCTGATAATCTTTATTATACTAATTCCTCATCTATGTATAAACTTTACACGACATTATGAAGCGGTGAATGTAGTTTATTTGTGCACAGCATAGATAAAACCATCACCAAGCGCGATTTCAGTAACCAACATTTAGCGTAGGAGAGGAGTATATGTTTAGGATGTAACACGTGGTCAATCATACATGATCATTAAAGCATGGGAATAGTAATGAAAAGATATATGCAAATTATTGCCGACACAAATGACACTGCCTATCAAATTTAATTCAAGGGCTTAATAAACTTTAGCATATGCAGACTGAAGTATAGGTGAGGGGCCTATATGATCAATTTTATTGAGAAAACTGCGCCTAGGTTTCCTTTACTTATGTTCCGTAATGAAGTTAAAAAAAGCTTTCAGCGTCATACTTTTTAGCCTTTAGGGATTGTTATTATTTATGTTTAGTTCTTTTATGATTTGCATTTTTTTCTTAGTCTGTTTAAATTGAGTTATGTTCTCAAAATGAATGTGATTTTAATAGACTTCAACTTCACCGAATGTACTTTCGTTCTGTACTTTGCAACAATGGTGCATAATATTTGTAGTGAACAGAACACGGCGGGGACAATCGAATGTATTTAACACGAAATTACAGGACTAGTTAATAAAATCTAACAATCATAAAGTAAATGCTTAATTTGCAAAATGTCCACCAGTTGTTTCAGAATGACTCAGACTTCATTGTTCTTGCATTTTCATACAAATTGCATTCTGTTTCCATTCTTTACTGTTCGATCCTCTTATCTCTCTGCTGCCAGACCTGTTCACGACTAACATCATATACTACTTATGTCAATATAAGTAACACACACCACAATATTTCATCATTTATAGATTGCATCTTTCTCTGGTTGACATCAGTTATATGTCATTAAAATCCAGAGAAGAATAAGCTGTTCCGTCTCGGTGCAGGCTTCCTTACCAGGGAACACCCGCGACACCATTGGGAATCGGACGCAGGACTTTAAGTTTTGGTGCCTAACCTTTTACTTTCAAACCACTTATTAGGAATCCAATTTTCTTCATTGTAACTTGAATCGGTTCACGATATAGCGCTGAAATTATTTAATGCCATCGATTATCATTATCTTCTATTTATTATTGTGCAAAAAATTATCGCTAAGATCAACATTTCCGTATTTTTCAAATTTTTTTTCAATCAACCAAGTTAACACCTAAATTAGCAATGTACATTGAGAAACTACCGACTTTATTGGTAATAATAATATTTTATTGGCACCAGTTTTGGTTTTTATTAGTTGAACCATTGAACTTTCAACTATTAGCTTTTAAGTTCTAATCTGTCTACTTTAGTTGTAGTATTACAACTAACTCTCACTAAAATATGTGTATCGAATATGAAAACATTTGTAATTATTAGATCGATTTAATAATAATGGTAATAAATAATGATTTTTTAAAAGTTTGTTTTCTTATGTTGTTGGACAGATACTGTTTATTTTGTCCTATTGCTTGAAATTTATTGACTACTTTGCTTTATTTTATCTCTTCAAATAAATGTCAAATGTTTTTACAACGAATGTTATCCAGTTATGTATTATTTAACACTGATCAAATTTCTGTCAAGGTTACTCACACTAACAAATTATGAGTTTTAGATTGAAATAGTTTTCGATGTTTTGCTTTTTTTCGGAAATTTCTATAATTTTATAGATCAAGGTAGGGTCTGTTAAGTTATAATGACAATTAACATAGGTATATATATGAATGACACTTGTAAGTTACTAATATTTGATCACAGATGCCTTCAAAGCATTTCTCGCGTATATTGGAACCTTTGAGTAAACAGTGCTGAGATTAGATTCAGAATATCATTTAATAATAAATCAGTTGTTGATGTAGTGAGTTTTCATTGACTAAGGCGGTTGGGATCTGTATTACGTCTGACTAGGTTGGAAGATAACTGTTAAACCAAGATGTAGCATCATCCCATGAAATCATTGACTATTGGAGTAAGCTGTGTTTGCAGGTGTAGGCTACCTACTTAAAGTCCTTGTAATAATCATGACCAATGTTTAAAAGACGTTAGGCAACATGGTTCAGTATCAATCACAGTGGTTCAAATTCATTCACTGTTTTCCTTCCCTTAGATCTTGATTTTCAAAATTATTTTGTACTCTCTGTTCGATTAGTTCACTATTTCTCAAACCGTATTGTTTATGCCTAATTTTTCTACAACTTATCTGGGTTTTTTTATAATTTCATCTCGTCTTGCTGATATGATGTTATAACTTAAATCTATACACATATGTCCCAGATTCTATATTGTATATGACTGACTGGTTCATTTAAAAATGTATAATTATTGATGAAATCTTTGTGAAACGTATGTGTTTTTTCAATTGTCTTAACCTAAAAGCTATGGGATATACGTGATGGTCAATGTAAACAAACGTTCACTGGACATGAATCAGATATCAATGCAATTATATTCTTTCCGAGCGGTTTAGCTTTTGCAACTGGTAGCGATGATGCAACCTGTCGATTTTTTGATATTAGAGCTGATCAAGAAATTGGAATGTTTAGTCATGATAATATTATTTGTGGAATAACAAGTGTTGCTTTCAGTAAAAGTGGACGATTACTACTTGGTGGATATGATGATTTCAATTGCAATATATGGGATACACTTAAACAAGAACGTGCTGGTATGTTATGATCTTTTCTATTTATTTTTTTAAAAACAATCTGTCGTACATTTGTACTGCTACGTAGTAATTTATTATCTTCTTGGTAATGCAGCACAACTAAATGCATTTACCTTGTCTCGTTACTTCTAATAAGTTGAAAAACTCCAATAAAAATTCTCCAAAACACTAATTGATTTTGTCTAGTTAATCTTCAATCCTGAAAATAGTTGCTTGAAACTGTCAAATTTCAAGGTGTTTGTAAACACGTATGAATAAAACAAAGCCGTTTACTTCCTGTTTAAATTGTTATATTAGGTTGATATTAAGGAAAAGTACTAATGTCTAATTTTTTTATAATTTGATTTACGAGAGAGCGTTTTTTTGAACAAACTAAAACCTATGTGTTCTAACAATTAAAAAGAAAGAATTTTTGATCAACTTTATCCTATTTTTCCTCCTGAGGTTGCCATAAATGTTGATAAGTTTCCTTTGTGTCTAAAATTTCTCCAAGAGTAAATAAATTTCAAATAATATTTTTTTCTATGGTCATTTTATAATGTATATATTTTTGAGTTGGTTACATTAAGTCTCAGATTTATGTGAATCATAGGCAATTATCAGCTATTTTATTTTCATTGGAAATGATAATTGAAGCACCTATCATTAACCAGACTTTTATTGTCACAAAATGTTAATCTAATTTACTACATTCATGTACTGTTCAGTTATGTTTAAGAATGTCAAGTGATTTATTTGCCTATGTTTTTATTTATTCTTTCCTTCATCCATTCTTCTTACTAACTAACAAACATAACCTTGTAACTATGGATCAATATTGTAGTTGAGTATGTGTAAAATGTCCTTTTAGAATGCTTATATCAAAATGTTATACCTGAAAGACTACTGAACTCCAAACCAAATGATACTGGTTTAAAAGGCAATATAGCTTTACTGATTATTTAAATATTTTATCAACTAGTTATTAAAATCATTACACCTAAAAACGTCCACGTTTGTTGCATTTATTCATATCAAGTCATTCAAGTGATTTAGCTGCAGTCTTTTTAATGATCAGTAAACTGAACAATGACAGATTACTGTATTTTTCAGAACTATAATTGTTATTTTTTTTGTTATCAATCGTAACATGTGTACACTTCAACAGTCTTTGTTGACCTGGTAGTCAAACGCTAATGCATACTTCCTTTATTTAATATTTTTAGTCTTTCATAACATTTTTCATCATCATCCACTTTTCTATGGAAACATTCCTGTCTGCTTGTTTTTAAGTATCATTACTAGCCTCATCATATTACTGGACGCTCTACCAACTTAGTTATTCAAGTTTTTACTACCTTTCAAATATTTTTCGAACTGTCATTTTTATTTTATGTGAAGCTACGTTTCATTGTGCATTGACCTCAGGTGAAGAGCAATAGATAATTAACTAGTACTGACTAGTTATCTCATTTGACAATCCACATCTGTTAGGACAGCTAGAATCGAAAGATGGGTCTTCAGCTCCTGTGAACATCCCAATATTACTCAATTAACGACTTAAAATACATCGGCCATCACTTCCAGCTATGGTTAATTCAATATTTGGCGTAACGCCATCTTCTGATATCATTAATGTGGTTTATAAATCACTCTCAACATGGTTGACGATATTTACAGTGACTCCAAACTGGACTTTCTAAAATGTTCATCTTCAAATCAGTCACAATCAATCACGATTTTTACTAATCTAGTTTTTCGTTTAGAGATTTGTTTTCTGCAAGTATAGTTTTTTCTGGAAATGGTAAGAAATAAAGATCTCCAAACATTTGTTTCTCCTTACTTTTCAACTCGTCATGTAAAGTATTTTATTACTACATTTTTTAAATTCCTAGTCATATAATTTCGTTTATTTTATTGATCAGTATGGACATATTCACCATAGCTGATTATGTCATAAATTTGGTTACTTCTGTTCTCCTGTATAAAGTGAACTTAAATGATTACTAAAAAGTGTTTTATAATTGTCTGCACAATTGAAATACACTATTTTCTACATATTTCTTATAAGAAATAATTTTGATGTCTCACACTAACCTTTGCTCATATGTGGGCATTTTATAGTTGGTCTCTTGTTGCATATAATAAATACAGCTCAAAATATATCTAAGTTTCATTTTAAATTGTACTAACTGTATTTGGTATTATGTTATTCAAAGAACTATTGATATTATGTTATTAAACTCGACAGTCTAATTGAATAAAGGAATTTCCATATTGATTTCTAAATCGAATAATATATATTTATATCTAAGCTGAATTAGGATTTTGTCTGTGACTGTGATCAGGCTCATTGTATTACACACACTTTCTCTTTCCTCAACAGTTAAAATAAGATGTAAGTTGGTGATTACTTATATGAGATATACATTACTTTTATGTATCTATTATCTATCAAGGTCAATTAGATAAGATTATTATGATAAACATCACAACATTAGGAAATAATTGTAATGCACAAATTTTACTAATACCGTTTACTTTTCCCATATAACTTTCATATTAAACCTTCACTATGAATGGCGATTAAAATGTAGTAAGTAGTTTTTTAAATTGAATTTCGTACAATTATTATTCAGTAATTCCAAAACTATTATCTGTATTTCATGTGATTGCTTCATGAATATATATTGACTCGATAAATTAAAATGTTCATTTTGCTTATTAGGTTAAACCAAATATTAATTGTTTGAACATCTTAACAATAGTGTCTACCTATGTAAAATGTAGAAAAAACTAGAGTTCACTTAAGTTTATAACTAATTAATAAAAGATTGAATGTTTCTACATTATAATTTACATTGATATTATTATTGTCTTCAAACCTTATACATGCATATGACAAAAAAGTCACTTTTAAGGAGCAAACATAATTCAACTTTATATCATTGTTTGTTTATTTCTCCCTTCTCTCAATTTCAGGTATATTGGCTGGACATGATAACCGTGTTAGTTGTTTAGGCGTGTCCGAAGACGGTATGGCAGTATGCACAGGATCATGGGATAGTTTTTTGCGAATATGGAACTGATAGAAAAAAAGAAAGAATTCAAGTCATTTTAAATGTGTGAATCTGTGCACTGTCAGTTTTTTTCTCTTGGTTGCCGATATTGTTGTTTCGTTTTTTGGCCAACAAAAATAAATAAATAAATATAGGATTGTAATCAATCTAATAATCCGAAAAAAGTTGTTTTCTTCCTTTTTTTTATCACTGGTTGTTCCTTCTATCTCTCTCTCCCAGTTTTCACTTTTTTGTTTCTCACATACTAGAAACACAATTGCAGTTGACTTATTATTAATGAGGTAGTTTGTCAGAATTTCATTTTCCCATTCTTTTCTGTTTCTTTTTTACTGCTTTGAGTTTCACACTGCATAGTGAATGGGCTATGTGTGTCTGTGTATGTGCTTTCAAGCAAAGTAAGTGATCAAATCCTCTTATTATCTGAGTTTTTCTCAATCCAAGTGTTTTTCTTTTGGTCAACTTTTTTCAGAAGAGAGTTTACAATGTTGTAAGTCAATTAGTCAATTGTTTATTTTTTCTCCTACTACTCTCTTCTAGAGTATACTTTTTATTCAATATGTACAAGACATAAAATGTATTGAGTCTGTTGTCAAAAGAAGATTTAACTTAGTGCATGTATGTGTAATTTCTCTATAATATTTTATGCTTGATTTCTATTCGCTCCAGCCTCTCTTGCATTTACTTCATAATATAGAAGAGATCTCTGTAATTTTTTTATCTATATGTTTGTGCGCTTATGTACTAACTTGAAGACATAATTAATGTATGCACTTAAGCGTCATATATATGAATATATATTTGCGTATTTTTCTCCTGCGAATTACTAGAGATTTTTCAGTATCTGTTCGCTTTCATAATCATTTTTTCGGTTTGCCTTGAATTATACAACCTCTTGGATCTTGTACCTAGAGTGTTTTTATGTAGTACGAACACACAGTTTCCAGCATTTTTTCTCTCTCAACTAGTCGCTTTATGATTCCTGTAATCATTTCCTTTACAGTTATAGTCGTTAATTTGTAAAATTTAACATACTTGTTTATTTCTGGGCTGTTGTATTCATTTTTCTCTATTTGATGCATTTCTTATAAGTTTGCTTTGTGTTTTACAACAACTATTGCTGCTACCAACACTACCACCACCAAGTTCGTCTATTTGTTTATCTTTCAACCCACTAATGAATAATGCAACTTTGCTAGAATACAAATAAAAAAGACTGTTAAAAATGTTTAAATGCCCGGTTAAATTAAAAATAAAAAATCTATTGTGTATTTACAGTATATAATGTAGAGTGTATTTTATTTCAGAGGAAACTCCGGGTTATTGAATAGTGCTAGAAAGCAGTGATGATTATATAACAAAAAGAAGTTTGTAATTCATTAAATTCTTCATTGGAAACAAAACGTTAGTTGTATTCTTTTTGCCATATTAATATTACTATCTGTTTAACTTCAAGAATGTATTGTTTCACTTTTGTTTTCGATAGTTCCTGTGTGTTGTTCCCCATGATTTATGTAACAGAGGGCATACAAACAGAAGTCTTTTTTGACCTAGTCTTTACCCTTTTTCCCAATACTTAGAGGTTTTTTTCAATTTGAGTATTTTTTTTCTTCTGTTGCACATTACGTTAGTCACTTCATTCTTTTATAGTATGATAACAAACTGGACTGCTTTTCCGGACAAAATTCATTGATACCTTTAACAACAACAAATTTAATGCATTTGACAACACTTTATTTTAGGCTTCTTAACACGAATCAGTTATGGTGTGTTTCTTTATTCATGGAGTTGACTTTGTGTTTTCTGATCATCGATAATTGGTGGACGAGTTATTATCTGCCAATTTATTTTTCTTTTTATGTGTAAAACAAAACACCAAAACAAAATCCTATCAACCTGAGGTTGTTTTGTTTTGTAATGCATCAGGTTTTCGCATAATTACTCACATGTGTAATATTTTACAGAATTACACGTAAAAAATCGAGACTAATTCAATTGGAAAAAAAACAATTTTAGAACTTGTGATTTAATCTTTGTTCTTTGTCGTATTTCACTATGAAGTGTTTTATGCTTATGTTGGCAATAATAATGTTTGCAAACATCATTAGTAATACAAGTGATGTAGAACAAATTACTTTTGTTAATGCTTTTCACATAATACCGCTGCATGCTACTGTAGAAAATCTGGGAAGTAATCAGTCAGATGAAATATCATTACCAGATAGTTTTGAAAAAGTGAAAAAAACGTGTTAATATCATGTTTGATTTTCATCTAACGAAATATTGTCCAACGAGGAGAGGGATTTTGAAATAATAAGGAAGAATCATAACTCAGTGGGGAGTTTATTGCTAGTAAATTGTCTTTCTATAATCTAGATCGTCTCATCATTAATTTTCTATGCGACGTTACTAATAGTACAAATCTAAACATACTACTTATCAGAATTTCCCCTAATGATGACAATAGCTTATCCTGTCGGTATAAAATGTAGTTGGCTTTTATCACTGACTGAGTGTCACCATTTGGACAATTTTTCTATTAACCGATTTTTACTAATCTAGTAGATCATTATTTTTGCAGAAGAAGTTTCAATTACTTACCAAGCATCACGAAAATGTTCACCTTAATGTGTGTTTGATATAAGTAATATAGATTCTAATAAATCTCATTCTATTAGGACTGCTAAATTCTGAATACACAGAAAATTAGTGATTTTGACTATTAACTATCTATTGGAAGAAATTTTACACAACGTATTTTTTATTGGAAACATCACAATATCTAACTATATTTACTCTAAAAATTAATTTGTTGACGCATATCAAATACATGACAATTTTAACAATGCAAAAGTAAGTTGGAATTAGGACTTTCTTTTTCATCAGGCAAGTAATCATTTGCTAATTAACAAGCAACTAGTGATCATACCAGTCAATACACTTATGTGTACATAACTTACATACTTACAACTGTTACTCCCAATGGAGCATAGGCCGCCGACCAACATTCTCCAACCCACTCTGTCCTTCTTTTCTAGTTCCATCCAATTGTTATTCATTTTTCTCATGTCTGTCTCCATTTCTCGGCGTAATGTGTTCTTTGGTCTTCCTGATCTCTCTTACCCTTGAGGATTCCAAGTGAGAGCATGCCCTGTGACGCAGTTGGGTGCTTTCCTCAATGTTTACTCTATCCACTTCCAGCGCTTCTTCCTGATTTCTTCCTCCACTGGAATCTGGTTTGTTCTCTCCTACGTACAGTAGAACTGTCTTGACATTTGTATTGAAAATCCTGACCTTGGTGTTGGTTGACAGTTGCTTTGAGTTCCAGATGTTCTTCAGTTGTAAATATGCTGCTCTTGCTTTACCGATCCGCGCTTTCACATCTGCACCAGATCCACCGTGTTAATCAATGATGCTGCCCAAATATGTAAAGGTTTTTACATCTTCCAAATCTCCGTCAATTGTGATTGGATTGGTGCATTCTGTGTTGAATCGGAGAATCTTGCTTTTCCCTTTGTGTATATTGAGACCTACTGCTGCTACACTGGTTGTCTTCTCCTGCATTTGTTGTTGCGTGTGCGATAGAAGAGCCAGATCATCTGCGAAGTCTAGATCACACAGCTGCATCCTATCTCTCCAATGTATTCTGTGCTTCCCTTCAGATTTTGACGTCTTCATGATCCAGTTGGTCACAAGGAGAAAGAGAAAGGGTGAGAGTAAGCAACCTTGCCTGACACCGGTCTTTACTTCGAACGAGTCTGTCAATTGTCCTCCATGCACGATTTTGCAGTGTAATCCATCATATGTATTCTGTATGACATTGACTATCTTCTGTGGTACGTCGTATTGTCGAAGAAGCTTCCATAATGTTGTTCTGTCCACGCTATCAAATGCTTTTTCGTAGTCAATGGAGTTGATGTATAGTGATGAATTTCATTCAATTGATTTTTCCACAATGATCCGTATAGTTGCGATTTGGTCTGTACACGATCTATGCTTACGGAATCATGCCGGTTGGTCACGAAGTTGGGCGTCTACGCAGTTCTTCATCCTGTTTAACAATACGCTGTTGAAGACTTCTCCCGGTATTGAGTGAAGAGTGTTGCCCTTGTAGTTATCACAGTTTCTGAGATCGCCATTTTTTGGTATATTGACCAGAAGTCATTTTTCCCAGTCTGTTGGTACATGTTCCTCATCCCAAATCTTATTGAAGAGAATATGGAGTACCTTTGCAGTTGCTGCTACGTCTGCATTCAGTGCCTCTGCTGGAATGTTGTCTGGCCCTGTTGCTTTGCCACTCTTGATTTACCTGGTGGCCATGCTAATCTCCTCAATTGTTGGTGGGTCAGCATTGTTTGGGAGGTCCGTGGTTGCTGCTTCGATATTGGGTGGGTTCAGTGGAGCTGGTCGATTTAAGAGTTCTTTGAAGTGTTCCACCCACCTGTTTTGTTGCTCTTCAATGTTGGTGATTACCTCGCCTTCTTTGATTTTCACTAGTCGTTCTGGTTTACGGTGATTTCCACACAGTTTCTTTGTTGTGTCATACAGTTGTCTCATGCTTCCTTCTCTTGCAGCCTTTTCCGCCGTCATTGCTAAATCTTCCACATATTTACGTTTGTCAGTTATGATGCTTCTATTCACTTGCTTGTTTGCTTCTGTGTATTCAGCTTGTGCCTTGCCTTTGATGCTCTTGTTCGGCTGGTATTGATTGCTGCCTTCTTGCTCGTCCATCTTGGTGATCAGCAAGTGATGATCTGATGCTATATCAGCTCCTCTCTTGGTTCTCACGTCCTCTATCGTCCCCCTGAACTTTTTGTTGATGCAGATATGGTCGACTTGGTTTTGTGTTGTGTGTTCCGGTGAAGTCCATGTGATTTTGTGAATGCGTTTATGTGGAAATATAGTGCCGCCTATGACCAGTTTATTTAAGGCACATAGGTTTGCAAATCTCTCACCATTTTCGTTCCTTTCTCCCAGTCCGTATGTATGTATATATATGAATTCGATATTAT